GTTTGTGGCAGGGAGAGGTCCTCTTGGGGCAGAGCCATAGGCAGAACATGACATCTAGGCCATCCACACAGTAGTGGTACATGGTGCCTGGGTTCAGATCTGCCTTCCAACCTTGAACATCTTGGGACTGCAGGTGACCCCAGGGACAGTAGCCCCATTTTCCTATCTAGCCGTCAGGTATTGCCAAGCACCATTATGTGTAGATCCCTTGGAAAGGTACAGTTAAGGACATAGGCTATTCCACTCCAAACCTTGGATTCCTGTACAAGGAGGGAACCTCAGGGGCTCTCAGAAGCTGTGGCAGTCAGCCCAATGTGTGAGGTATTAAGACAATCTGTTGGAAGTGGGAGGGTTAATGAGCAGATGTTGAGGTTGTTAAGCCCCAAGGGCATGGGCTTTCCCACCTGGCTGGCCCTAATGCTCTATACTCTGGTTTTGGGTGGGGCCTAGGTAACTCCAGGCATACCTTATATCCCCGTTATGCCCTGTGTTTCTGTTGCCTACCTTTACAACCCTATTCTTGCTTTCAGATTCTTGCCTGTGGAAGCCCCTCATATACCTTCTTCTGGGCACCTAAGGTCCCTTCCATCCTTTGAGTCTTTGTGCCTCAGACTGTTCCCTCCATCTTCCATCCATTTTCTGAAATCACAAACCCTGCTCATCTTCCTTTCATTCTTCCCACAAATACCTATGATACTCCTTCTGTGGCCTCCAGACCAGGGTAGCCCTCTGAAGAACCATCAGTGAACAGGGTAGCCTGTGTCACCACCTCATGGGACTGATGGAGAAGTGGGGACAGATAGCAAACCATTGGTGAATCAGTTAAGAGACTGTTTAAGGTGGCAATGAAGCTGTGGAACAGTATTTTTGGAGACCCAGTGGGGATCAGGCGAGAGAGCATTAAGCCAAGGGACCAGTAGGGACTAATGTGAGAACACAGGCAAGTGTGGCTGGAAGGCCATCCACCAGGGGAGCAGGGAGACAGAAATGGAGCTGGCCCTCACTCTGAGGTGCAGCCTGAAGGTTTTCAAACCTTCTGCCAGAGAGCAGGGATGGTTCAGATGATTGATAAGGATGGGCACTGAGATACCTACATGCTTGTGGAATTCTTTTCCCTGCGTCTCCTCACACCCCTTAGCCCTCAGTCTGCTCTATGTCAGAGTAGGATCTGCACAGGCCACATAGTCCACAGAGCCCAGGAAGATGAGTGACATTATCTGGTGAGTAGCTGTATGGGATTCTTCCCATTCTCAGAGTTGGGCCAGGGGTGGTATGACAAGAGAAGACCATGGTAGCTGCTCCTGCTGGCGACTTCACACAGCCTGTGGCTCCAGGCAAATTTGTAATGTGATTAGCCCAGCTTGGGATGAACAGAAGAAAAGCCCAGGCCTCAGTCTCTTGAATCTGAAAGCTGGCTTTGCTACTTCCTGGCCTGTAAGTTAGGCAGCCTCTGGAAACTTCACAGCCTCAGTTTCTTCATCAGTAAACTGATAATCATTTGTGATGAGGAATTATGTCATTGTGCTCAGCCTGGGCAGCATTAAAAAAACCTCACCTCAAGACACTGTAAAGCTGCAGGGAAGGCTGTGTGCTGCAGGATGCCTTTCCTTGGCAGATACCAGCAAGGACCCAGCAGTCTTTGCCCCTCCCCGAGCCCATCAGCCTATCACCTGCCAAATCTCCAGACAGGTATTCCGTACTCTGTCAGCTCCCATCCAGGCCTCAGATGTGAATTAGGTTAGAGCTCCCATGAGCCGTCTGGACAGTTTGTACTGTATCCATCGATTGGCTCTTTTTCTGGCTAGCCTGGAGACAGCTGGGAAATAATGCTGTCCACCAGGGTACAGTGGCCAAGTCTTCTGGAAACTAGTTTGTAATGCAGGTCAAATTTGGCAGGCCAATGCTTTCTGTACTCTTCTGAAACACCCCCAGAACTTCTCTTGCTGTCTCTCTCCCCTCCCTGTTCATCCTAAGAGAAGGACTGTTTGGTGCAGGTGCCACTGCAGAGGCTATAGGGTGGTGGAAAGCAAGCCAGGAAGGAATGTGGGACCCCGTTTCCCAGTCAGGAGGCCTACAGCAATCTGCCTAGGCAGGAAAACTGTCTTCTACTCTCCCCTGGCTTCTTTTGCTCATGTTCTAGCCATAAGGAAGCCTTTGTCAGGGCCTTTTCTTGATTTTCTTAAGGAAATAATAGCTACTCTTTAAGCCATTTTCTTCCATCTCCTCCCCACCCCAAACCCCAAACTACTGTGACTTTAAACAGGTTATCTGGATACTTCTCACAAGTCCCCAAGGAGCCCTTGAAGAAGCTTTGGGGTCACAGCTCTGTGGCAACCTTTCTCAAGCCCCCTGTGCAGTATAGGCCACCCCCTGCCTTGGGTCATTCACTGCCACAGCACCGAAACTAGGGGCTAGAGACAAGGGCCTGCTCTTGCTCTGGACCCCACTCACTCCCCACCCACTGGCCTCACAGGTAGCCACATCTGGTGTGAACTGGGCTTTGGCTGCCCCCCCCCCATCTGATCTGTTGTCCTATTGAGTTCCCAGCCTCCATCACCTTCAAACTATAGTACAGATGTCACCTCCTTCTGAAAGCCTCCCCTACCTTGTCGTACTGGGTCAGGGTGGGTGTCCTTTGTGTCCAGCTTCCATGGTTGGGTAGGCTCACCTTGGGTATTAGAAATGTAGGTGATGATGTCCTGGTCCACATCCTCTTCTGTGAGCATCCACCCATGGCTGATTGGACCAAGGGTTGACACCCACCTAGGCAAAGCCTCTCAGGTCAAACTTTGAACCAATTGGCACTGAGACCCAGGAGTCATGGCTTAGTACTGCTGTATGGTATGAACATCTTTTCTAGGCTCCCAGCTTGCCTAAGGCCTGAGCCTTCACCTTCTCCTCCCAGCCTTGATGAGCCAGCTAGACCTAATCTTAGATTTTATTCTTTTTAATCAAGTGTGCCTGAACCTACCCCATCTCTTCACTCTCAGTTTCTCTGGCTTCCCCTCCTTCCCTGGGAGGGAAGCAGGGGCACATGTTCTGGGGGTAGAGGGGCAAATGTCAGGCTGGGACTTTGGAACCAACCTCAGAAGGTTCCTGAATGAAGTGTCCTGAAAAACAGGCTCTCTAGAGCCTTGCTGCTGGGCATCATCATAGAAGCATTTGGATGTGAGCCAAGCAGTATTCCTCCTGGAGTTCATGTGGCCTAGCTTGAGAATCTGCCTAGGTAGCCCCCTACTTTGTCTGCTTCTGGGCTTCAGGTAAGGCAGGCTAGAAGTCCCAGCAGGTAGGAGCCCAATCTATTTACCATGAAGGAATGCAGCCATTGGTCCCTGAGGCCTGAAAAGGCCTATGAATACTGTAGGGAAAATCATTTTAGCCAGACGGCAACTGCAGCGTGAGTGCACCCTAACAGCAGCTGAGCCTCAACAAGAGTGGCCCCCATGTGGTTCCCCCATAGAATTTCCTACTTGAGGTTCCTCTTACTATTTCAGTTGGAATTGACTCTGTGTCTGATGTCAGCATGCCAGACTCGTGTCTGAACAGGTGTCTGGGCCCAAAGTGGCTCATAGCCAGAGAGCAAGCCGCCTGCACACAAGGCTTATGGGGTCATATGGGCCCTCTGTCTTGTCCAACAGGGGCTGTTCTTGCCCTTTTCCTGGCATCCTGGGCTGCCCATGGCTCTCTTCCTCACTGGCTGCATGTCAGGTTAGATCAGACATGGCTACAGTCCTGCTTAGCCATAGTAGCCTTGACTTTATAGGACCTTAGCACCATGGGCCAGGCCTTGCCCCTGTTGTAGAGATTGGTCTTGGAATCAGTGTTGACCTTAACCATCCAACCTTCTCCTGGAAAATGGCTCTCTCCTATCAGCTTTCATGGAACAGCAAACTTTTTTCAGGAGTGCATACTTAAGACCTCACCTGTCCCTGTCCCAAAGGGACCTTCCATTCTTGTGTGCCTCGCCCCACATAGCTGCAAGATTCTGTCCAGTGTGGTGGAGCAGTCTGTGGGGCATGGCCCTCTATTTAGAGAGAGGAGCATGGGCTGGTAGAGAGGCTCAAGAAGCTCTGAGATTAACCCCCACTACTATCAACAACAACAAAAAGGTAGAGACAGGAGCAGAGGTGCAGAGGCATAGAGGCCAGCCAGCAGGGACTCCACAGCCAACAAGCCAGGGGTCAGGCTTTGCACTTTTGCCTAATATGGTGATGGGAGGAATAATTACTAAGTTCAGCCTGGCCAGCAGAGGATAGAGTGGAAACTGGTGGGGCAGGCTTACAGGCACAAGCATGAGCTTGCTTGGAATGGCAAGGGGAAAGGGAGAAGAGTCTAGGCTCAGCTCTGCCCTCTGCCAGCCTCTCCTTTCTAGGATGGCATTCCTGGGATTCAGGACCAGGGTTCTGGTTCAGGTTGGCTAGCCACTGGTGAGGACCAGACAGCAGAGGGTGCTGACCAGTATTTGGTGAGAAAGGGCTGCTCCCGGAGCCAGTGAGTAGGCCCCAAAGAAGGCTGAGAAAGCCAATCTCAATGCCCATCCTCTCCCCATCCCCTGCAGTCCCACCTGGGCTTGGGTTCCACCAAGAAGCACCATAGCTCAGAGAGCTGGGCCTGAGCACTGCAACCAGAACCCAGTTCTCTTAACCTGAAGCAGTCGTACCACTTGGCTACAAATAGAGACTCCTGATAAACAAGTCAGGCTGTCTTTTGGGGTAGTGGGTGTTCTCCCAACAGCAGGTGGACAAGTGTTGTTTGTGTCCACCTTGGGCATTCTGAAGTCAGCTGCACTGGGCTCTTAAGACATCAGTTCTGGAAATGTGTCCCACAGCCATGGTAAAAGCCATGACCAGAGCCACTTGGAACTGTAGAATTCATGTCAGTGGAGCCACTGTTCTGTGTGGTTTGCTGGTGCAGCCAGGAAGGAGGGGACCGCCTGCCTTCCCTGTGGGCGCCCTGAGCAGCCCACACACTCACTTCCAACCTACTTCTTGTTTCCCCAGAACCTCCAGTGGGCCCGCGATGTGTTGCTAGGCAGCAGTATCCCGTGGCAACAACTGCAGCACATGCCGGCACAGGGGCTCTTCTGTGAGAGGAACAAGACCAATTTCTTCAACGTGAGTACTTTGCCTTGTTGCTTTCTGAGGTTGCTTGCTGCCACTGCTTTTCACTGAAGGCGCATGAATGAATTGACCCCCTGAGGCAGGAATTCCCAGGGCCTTAAGTTTGAGATGCCCTCAGAGGGCATGCAGATTGGTGCAGGTGAGAGTGCGCTAGATTTGGGCACGAGGCCATGATTGCTGAGTGACTTCTGGCAAGTCACTGCCCCCTCTGGGCACTGGTTTGCCCTCTAGGGAGAGACATGGATAATCTTGGTGTGTTCTTTGGAATCCCAGGTGTACTGGGCCATACAGTTCTGGGCAGTGGTGAGGGTCTCCAGGCCCATAGCCCTGTATCCCCTGGAGCAGCTCAGCCTCCCTTCACATGGTCTTGGGCACAAATGAGATTGTGATTAAAGCTGACTCTACTGCTTAAAAAACAAATTTTCCCAATGCTAGGACTTTAGTGCGCTTCCAGCCCTGCTTTCCATGTGAAGTGGAAACTCATTCCTTGAGCAAAACATGATCAACCTCTCAGGCCTGTCTTGTCGCCCATCCAGAAAGTCTATGTCTGCCTTCCTTGACACCCTGCTAGGCCCAACCCTAGTGAGGTGCCTCATTTGGCCACCCTTCCCAGAGACAGCTGCTTCCTCACTCCTTTCTATCTCTAACTCCTCATCCATCCTCCACCACCCCTCCCAGCATGGCCAGCTCCCAGCTGGGTGGCTTTGGCAAGTTACACAGCCCCTCTCAGCTTTGGTTTCTTTTGTATTTTCCCTGATTTCCTGATATTCAGAGAAACTGAAGGGCAGGGGTCACTTGAATAGGAGCTGAGACCAGGTCCCAGATCCAGAAGGGAGTGGCAGAGGTAGTTCTCAAGATGCATGGCAGGCAGGTTCCCAACTGAGAGCCAGCAAAGTGGTGGGAGGTCTGAGTCCATGGTTCTTCCTTTCTCCCAAGTTGTGACCTTTTTGGGTCAATGGTGACCCTGGAACCTGAGAGCCCTGCACCTTGGCCACCCTCTCTCTGTTGATATTTTATAGACAAGTAGTAGGTGTCATTAGTAATCAATCTACGTGCTACAAGGGGTTTTCTGTGAAAGAGAAGTACCCTCCCTGCCTCATAGCACCCACTGTTCTTTGTCCCACGTGTGTCCTTCTAAAGGAGGCACATCTTTATAAGCCAGTGTATACAGGTATACACAAAAGGCATAAGTACACATTTCTGCCCCTTGGGTTTTTATAACTTAATTTGCCTCCCCCCCACCCCCATCCTTCTTCTCTATGTATATGTCTCTCCCTACCTCCAGCCTCTACCTCCCAAAAAGCTAGAATTACAGGTGTGCACTACCACACCTGGGTTAGGCTTAATGTCTTGTTTTTTCAGTGCTGGGGATTGAATCCAGGGCTTCATGCTTGCTATGCAAGTGCTTTACCACTTGAGTCAAACCCCCAGCCCTTAATAGCATCTCTTAGAGAGTGTTTTAGAACTTGCTCTATTTATTTATTTGTTTGTTTGTCTAATGCAGTGCTAGCTGGGGACCAGTTTTTAACTTGGTGATCCTCCTGCCTCACACTGTAGGTATGCACCACCATGCCTAGCTCACTCATTCTTTTTAATAGTTGTATGGTTCTCTCGGCATATGAATTATCTAGAATTACCCACCTATCCCCTATCCCCTATTGATGGACATCTAAATTATTTCCAGTCTTTCATTATTACAAACAATACTTCATATATATATATATATATATATATGTCATTGCACATTTGTGGAAGTTCATTTATAAGATAAATCGTAGAAATAGAATTCCTGAATCAAAGGACTTGTGGTTAGCTGGGTGCTGGTGGCTCATGCCTTAGTCCTAGCTACTTGGGAGGCTAGGATCAGAAGAACTGCCATTTCTGACCACCAGGCAAAAAAAGTTTGCAGGACCCCCATCTCAACAGCAAAAAGCTGGGTGTGGTGGTGTGTGCCTGCTATCCCAGCAATGGTGGGAAACGTAAAATTGGAGGATCATGGTCTAGGCTGGCCTGGACAAAAAAGCAAGATCATCTCCAAAGTAACCAGAGCCAAACGGGCTGAAGGCATGAGTGCCTACCTAGGAAGTATGAGACCCTGAGTTCAAACCTCACTACCACAAAAAAAAAGTGCTAAGGTTGAATTTTTATGAATTCTAGGGCCAAAGACTCCTCACTTAAACTCTGGTTGTGTTCATATTTTGTTCAAAATTGTTTGTTTTGAGGAAACAATAAGATTGGCCACCATTGATATGATCAAAGCTAATATAAACAGTTCTTATTTCAATTTTCTGATATTAATATAAAAAACAGCTATATTTTCTTATTTAAAATGCTACATTTTCTGTTTTTTTACAAAATGAAAAAATAATTATTTACCTACTTTCTAAACTATGTCTAGTTTTCATTTCTTATGGTGGTAGTATTTTTATTTTCTGTTCAGTTTGAAGCTCATTGGGGATAAAGAAGGGAGGGAAAGAATCCTTCTTCCTGTTGTTCCATTTGATGTCTACAACTTATATTCTGGAATACATTTTTGTAGATACCAACTCTCTAAAGACGTAGTCCACATCCCTGCTTTAGACTCATTTTTTTCAAGTCCTTGTCAATATTCTATTTGTTACTGAGCTTTGTAATGTTTGCTCTTGTTTGTTTGTTGAGTCTTGCTGTGTAACTCAGGCTGGCCTTAAACTGGAGATCTTCCTGCCTCAGCCTTCTGAGTGAAGATTCTCTTTTTAGTAGCTGGAAATACCATCCATCAAGTTTCACTCACTGAGCAACACTGACCGTGATATCATATTGGCAGTTTTAACTTTTATGCAATTTCTATTCATGTTCATTTTTCTATTGGATTATTGGATCTTTTGTTATGGAGTTATAAGAACTCTATACATTAATGAAGTAGGTCCTTTTGCACAACTATTTTTCTACAAGTTGATAGACCAAAGTTAGAGCCAAGCCAGTTGCTTAATTTCCTAGCTCTTTGGTTACTCATCTTATAAAGTGAGTTTCCATTATCTGCCTTGAAGAGTAACTATAGGAAACCAAGTTAGATAATGGGGTAGTGTCCCTAATCTAGGATCTAGCACTTGGTAGGTGCTCAAGGAAATATTTAGCCTCTTTCCTTTCCTCCCCTGCTGTTAGTGCTTGAAAATAGTGCAGAATATTGCATGAGAGGCCCAGCCTCCATGTCTGCTTCATGGGTAGGACACTCTTCCTTCCTAATGCTGAAGTTAAGGAAGCTTGCTCCTCAGATGCCTGCCCTCCCAGAGCTGGCCTGGTACTCCAGGCCCCTTTCCTACTGAGCTCACTCCCTGCAACTCCTCCTGTAGTTTCTGGCACCTTCCAGAAAATAAAAGTCAGTCTGTGGTTGTTCCTATGAAGGAAAGGCTGGGATAGTCACCTGTGGACCTGGCATGTGGGCAATGCCTCCCTCAAAACCAGAAGCCTCTGTGGCAACCTGGACTGGTAGTTCGGCTTTTCTGGGTCAGCCATTCATTCCTCTAGCAACCTGCTGTGTTTACTATACTGGGGCTCTCTCCTGGCCTTCTCTACTCTCTTGGGCTCTTTGGCTTCTTTGAGCCATGTCTAGCACCCAACATGGCAGGAAGTGTTGGGCAGACCCTGAGCACTCTCAGCATGGGAATCCATCCAATATCCTTTACCAAGTATGACAAAACTATTTACTGACATGTTATCAGAGGATCATTTAGGGTAGTCAGCCCTTGGCTTACCACTGGATAAGGCCATGTCTGTGACAGATAGGACTTACAGGATGGGGTGAACAGGCTGGCTTGCCTCCCTTCCAGTATGCACAGGGGTTTACTGCCTTGTTTGGGGGGCGGGGGAGAAGCAAGAATGTGCAGGCCAACTCTTACCAAGACATGTGCAGAAGATGAGGGCAGTGTCACTACGTACCCTGAATACCACTCCTCCGAGCCTGTTGCCCTAGACCATCCATGCTGACCAATCTTGGTGTTGCCCACCCAGCAGTCTGGTCAGCCCCTTTCATCTGGAGGACTTGAGTAGGGACCTTCTTGTAACTTTTTAAATGACAATTTTTAAAAGTTGTGTGGAACATTTGTCACCACCAACAGTTCAGACACATAACAGACCTTTATCTACCCACTCCACTCCAGGTACTGTGCCCTCTCAGTGTGTGTGTGTGTGTGTGTGTGTGTGTGTGTGTGTGTGTGTACGTATGTACCACAGTGGTGCCCTTTTGACACTAAATCTTGGAGAAGTTTTCAGGCTATCTTGCTCTGTGCTGCTGCCATCTCCTTTGTGTGGGTCTAGTGTTTGGTCTCAAAAGCCATCCTTGTATGTGCATCTTTGTGCTGCTGCCATGTTCTTTGAATCTCCTGGTCTGGCCCAGACTGGCCCAGAAGAGGTACTCACTGAATATTCATGGATTGATTTCATTATTCTTTTCCCTTAATAGATGGCATCCAAGCACATTCTCCTGATCCAGTCAGTGCTGTGTGTGGTAAGGGACAGGCCCCTGCCACAGGACAGGGAGGCTTATGGTAGAACCCCTCATGACATCTGTGTGCAATGCCTCCGTTGGATGCTGCGGGACATGTGGGAGGGGCAGAGAGCTGGGTTCCCACTGGCAGGGTAGAGTGCTGCTTAGCTAGAAAGTGGGTAGGATAGAGAGGTCAGAATTAGAAGGCACTCTTAGGGGAGCTCCCTGAGGGAGGTGACTGAGCCTTCATGGAGACTCTAATAGTCCAGGGGAATGATTGGGCACTAAAGGAAATGGGTGATTGAGACCTTAGGTTCCCAACTCCTTGCACATGAGGTCTGCCCCACAGCTGGCTAGTCCTCCATAGTGGCATAGACATGGCATGCAGCAGGCTTAGTGGTGTGATTGAACTTGTGAATGAGTAAGGGAAGCATGAACTTGGCACAAGTCATGCCACAAATGACAATCCAATCATTGTCACTGTTTCACACATTGACTGAACCCACATCTCCAGAGAGGGGACAGCTCCCTG